TCCACTCATCCGCCTCCACTCACCCAACTCCTCTCACCCGCCTCCACTCACCCGCCTCCACTCACCCGCCTCTACTCACCCGCCTCCACTCACCCGCCTCTACTCACCCCCTCCACTCACCCGCCTCCACTCACCCGCCTCCACTCTCATCCGCCTCCACTCACCCGCCTCCACTCACCCGCCTCCACTCACCCCCTCCACTCACCCGCCTCCACTCACCCGCCTCCACTCACCCGCCTCCACTCATCCGCCTCCACTCACCCGCCTCCACTCATCCGCCTCCACTCACCCCCTCCACTCACCCCCTCCACTCACCCCCTCCACTCATCTGCCTCCACTCACCCGCCTCCACTCACCCGCCTCCACTCATCCTCCTCCACTCATCCTCCTCCACTCATCCGCCTCCACTCACCCGCCTCCACTCATCCGCCTCCACTCACCAGCCTCCACTCACCCGCCTCCACTCACCCGCCTCCACTCATCCGCCTCCACTCACCCGCCTCCACTCACCCGCCTCCACTCACCCGCCTCCACTCACCCGCCTCCACTCACCCGCCTCCACTCACCCCCTCCACTCACCCGCCTCCACTCACCCCCTCCACTCACCCCCTCCACTCACCCGCCTCCACTCATCCGCCTCCACTCACCCGCCTCCACTCACCCCCTCCACTCACCAGCCTCCACTCACCCGCCTCCACTCACCCGCCTCCACTCACCTGCCTCCACTCACCAGCCTCCACTCACCTTCATGTAAGTATCTTCCATTCATCCATCTTTAAGATTCAGTTCACGTGTCACCTCCACTATGCAGCCTTCCTAATTTCCCCCAGTGGTAGTGACCCCTCCACCTGTGCCCCTGCAGCCCCACCTTCTCTGCCACGTGCCCCATTGCTTGTGTTTTTAGATGTCTGCAGGGAGGTGGTATAACTAAGAGATTTGAGGTTTGCATGCTGGTCTGGTTTTGAAAACTTGGCCCTGTCCCTTATTAGCTGGATGTCTTTGCAAAAGTGACCAGACCTTTGGGGCCTCTGTGTCTTTACCTGTAAACAGGCACCATAAACTCCTCTGAAGTGTTTTGTTGAGGATGAATGAACCAACTTATGAGGTGCTTAGCATGGTGCCAACTGGTAAAGGTAGTAGTTGTCGTTAATGTAATTATTACTGACTCATGAAATCTTAGAGGCAAAGAGATCTCAGGGGTCATTTTCATGCCTTCAAAGCCTGATTCCTCTCCGCTTGTTAATCATCAGCTTCTCCTTGAACTCTGCCCAGGGACCGAGAGCTCACTTTCTTTTTGATCTTGTAATTCTTAGTGCTGAAGATGCAGAGGTTGGCTAGTGTATAGGTTAAGTTACTATATGTCTACTTGGTGGACTATTTTATTTTATTATTATTATTTTTAAATAGGTAATTTATTTATTTATTTATTTACTTTTAGTTAATCCTCATCCAAGGATATTTTTCCATTAATTTTTTTTTTTTAAGAGAGAGTGAAAGGGAGATGGAGAGATGGAGAGATGTGAGAGAGACACATCGATTGGTTGCATCCTGCATGAACTCCAACCAGGATTGGGGAACCTGCAACCAAAGTGTATGCCCTTGACCGGAATTGTTCCTGGACCCATCAGTCTGCGGGCCTACGCTCTATTCACTGAGCCAAATCAGGCTACGGCTTGGGGGACTATTTTAAATTAGCAGTCATATGTATTTATTTATGTATGCATGCATGCACATCTGCATATATTTAGTCATCTATGACCACATAGGATTTCCTAAAAAGTCTAACTCCAAGGCTGGGAGAGGAAATCACAGGGGAAATGAACCTCCAAAACCAAGCTGTGAGTAACTTAGCATTTTCTTAGACCTTGTGTTCCTCGGCGGGTTTGCACCTGTGTTTTGCTTGCCTCTGAGCAGAGCGCCAGGAGGAACCGGGGCTTGTCACGTTGCGGTGATGATCAGGCTCGCCCCGCCTGTGACAGACACAGAAAGAACAAAACCCCAGTGACATAATAACACCACACAGCTACAGGAGTGACAGGTTGCTGGCAGACAGAGGACAAGCTTTTCCTGATGTGCTTTAGGAAGAACCCTGGCTGAGCAGCCAGGCCCCTGGGATGCTTGGCCGTGCTTGGGCCTCAGTTAGCGGGGAAGTGGGAGCACTGTCACCCAGAGGCCAGCTAAGCAGGCAGAGGCGGACTTGGTTCTTAAGAACCAGCTACCGCCACTCCCCATTCAGCCAGGGCAGCCCTGTCTTTACATTGGCAGCCCTGAGATGTTATTTGAAATATAATACTCTGTTGCTTGAAAAAATTCCCAAAACTTCTCATCTGGATTGTCTCGAAGTTTCTTCTAGCCGCAACAGCTATTATGGCCCTAAAATAAAGCAAATTTATATCTCTATAGTCTGTAATACATGTTTAACCTGTAAAAATGTTTTTAAAAGTGAAGCAAAATCATATTTCAGAAACGTTTTCTTAAAGAATATTTTTTGTCCTCCCTTTCGGATGAGCTTGATTACAGTGAAAGGCTCCCCCTTCGCTTTTCTTCCAAAATTTGCTTTTCTCTGACTGAATCAAAAGCCCACTAATGCCAGGAAAAGTCACAGGCAGGGTGTGGGCAGGAAGACGGACGTCATCATTGTCACTCCCTCCTATCTTTTCACGTAGTTAAGTATGAATTAGGCAATAAGCATCTCTCTCTCTGACAATTCCTTCCCCAAGTATCTCCAGGTAACCCAGAGACTCATAAAGGTGGGCCAGACATAAGAAAACCTTCCTGGGCCTAGCCGGTTTGACTCGGTGGATAGAATGTCAGCCTGTGGGCTGAAAGTTCCCGGGTTCGATTCTGGTCAAGGGCACATGCTCCGGTTTTGGGTTCGATCCCTAGTTGGGGCCATGTAGGAGGCAGCCAGTCAATGATTATCTCTCATCATTGATTTCCCCCCCCCCTCTCTCCCTCTTCCTTCCTCTCTGAAATCAATTAAAAATATATTTTAAAAAAATCTTTCTGCCTACGTTCTTCACTTTAAAGGTGTGGAAAATGGGATCCCGTGATGGGGACAAACTTGTATGGGATAAGGTCATGGGCCTTCATAAGGTCATGTGGTCTTTGCCAGTCTAGTTCATGTGCGATTGGGTGTAGGTAAGTCCCTAGCTCTTCAGTTTTCTTACTGATACCCTGGGATGATAATCACAGTGTTGGCCTCAGGGTGCTGTGGACCCTGAGAACAGTGCTGGGACCACAGAGAGTTCTGTCACGTGTGAGCTATCGTCATCGTTACCACACCTCCAGGTTCAGGCAGAGGTAGTCCAAGGTGCGCAGTCGGGCCCCAACCCCCTTTGAGGACCTGCCTCCGTCTTGCACTCCCCAAACAAGTTGCTAAAATAATCTCTTCTGCCAACATCTCTCCCTCTCCTCCAGGTGACTGTCCCCTGTGGGTGACATGGGTGGCAGCTGGTTTTATTCTGGGAAATGGGTTTCACATTCATATGTGGGCTGCTTACTGCCTGGCAGGGACGCCTGAACGCCGTGACAATGTGTGTGCTTCCAGAAACCCTTCATTGAGGTGGCTCCAGGTTGGTGGCCCGTGGGGGTGGAGTCCTTTTCCATCAAAAAGGTCTGTCACCTCCCCTTGAGGAAGGCACCTTCTCCACTAGAGAGGGCGGGCTAGACATGCCGTTCCCCTCACCCTGACCTCTGATTCCCTGAAAGCGAACGGCGGGTACCACATGGGTGAGCACTTAGGATTTAGACACTCTGATCTTATTCCTTCATCCGGGTCCCTGCACAGGACTGAACCTGTGCCTCACCTTTAAGTTTGTCTTGTGTTGGAGAAGCAGGAGAATGTCTGCTAGTAAGAGACAGCTAGGAGGCCCCCCACCTGCACAGGGGAAGTAGGGTTAAGGAATCTCAGGTGTGCCCTGGCTACATTTACAAGGGGTCTGACCACCAGTTCTGTGGTGTCAGGGCTGCCATCCCGTGAGCACCCATGGGGTCTTTTTCTGCCTTGGGTCCCGTTAATCCCCCTCCCAACCTCCAACCTGGTTCCCCCTGCCAGAGCTTCCCCTTCAATGACATTTACCCAGGAGGACATGGCAGTGAGCTGCAGCTTTGTGGAGCCAAAAACTCTTCTGGTCTCAGCACCTGCCCCATCACCCAACGAGGAGATGCGGCATTGACCAGCAGCCACTTCTACTCCTTACTGCTGGTTTATCTTGTGCTCCCGAGAGAGAGGAGAGAGACAGAGAGAGAGGGGAGAGAGAGGAGAGAGAGAGAGAGAGAGAGAGAGAGAGAGAGAGAGAGAGAGAGGGGGGGGAAGCGGAAGAGAGGGGGAGAGAGGGAGAGAGAGAGGACTTTGTAAGTGGGATGTGTGGTTACTTTAGTTCCCATCAACTGCTTTGATAATTTAAAATGGAACTGGCTCCTGGCGGCTTGTGAGTGAGCGCTGGCCGTGAACGAGAGTCCCCCGGGTACCCACCCCTCCGACCCTCGACCCTCGCAGCCGCCGCTGTGCCCCCCAGCCGCCGGGAGCACCCAGATCCCTCTTCGCTCGCTGGGATCTCCGCGCCCGGTCCCTGCTCCTCCTCCAGGGCGAGCTTCCGGAGCCCGGACGCACCCGTGGGGTCCCCGGCATATGCGGGCCCCGGGGGGCGAGGCTGGAGCCCCGCGTGCGCCCTGCGGACCGCGGTGCCCGGCGCACCCCTCCCTCCGCGCCCGCGGGTGCCGGACCGGTCGCCATCCCGGGGGCCGGGCCCGGGGCGCTGACGGACGACTTTGCCCAGTTGTCCGTGTTCTCGCTCGTCAGCAGAGCGGCTGCTGGTGAGTGAGAGACGCGGCGAGGGGCCCCGGGGAGCGGGGCGCGGGGCGGGGCGGGGGCGCCGGGCCGGGGCGCAGGGCGGAGCCCGGGGAGTGGGGTGCCGGCTCCGGTCAGATCGCCGGCCGGCCTGCGGCCAGCTCCTCCTGCTCACCCCCCTACCCGCTCTCCCTCCCCACTTTCCCCTGCTCGCCTCCTCTCCTCCCCACCTGGCCCGCCCTCTCCCCGCCAGTCCTTCAGCTGCCACACCGATTGCTCTGGGGGCTTTGTTTAAAAAAATATATGCATCTCCAGCCGGACCCCAGGCGCTTTCTTCCTGAGTTGGGAGCATATCCCCTGGCCATGGCTGCTTACCGGAGCTGCCTACCCCCCGGGGCACCCCGGCCTGGGGTAGCCCGCCATCCCAACCCGCTTTAAGGCTGGATTTGGGGGGGGCACAGACAGGGGAGCGCACGGAGCAAGGGGCAGGCTCAGAGGGGCAGCCCCAACTCTCTGAGCCTCACTCCCCCTGCTAACCTGCAGCGATGGAGTCCCCGACCAAGGAGATTGAAGAATTTGAGAGCAACTCTCTGAAATACTTGCAGCCGGAACAGATCGAGAAAATCTGGCTCCGGCTCCGAGGGCTGTAAGTACAGCGATTTCCTTGTCTTGCCCCCTTTCCCTCTGCCGTCAGCATTTCCCCACAGGCCGGGCTCCCCACGGCTCTCAGGGACCCCGCAGGGCCCTTTCACACAGCTCAGAAGTTCCACAACTGCTTCTCTGAATTACAGTCACTGCCGCCTTCCTTCAGTCAGAGACCTGTCTTCCTGACTTCCAACGCCTGCCTGGCTGTTTCCAAGCCACTCTTTCTCTGGGGGAAGGAGACGGGTCTTTAGGTTTCTGTTGTAGCAGCTCAGTCCCCACAGAGATGTTTCTGGTCCTTTTTGCCAGGGGGAGGGGCGAGGGGAGAGTGTGGGGACTCAGGTCACAGACTTTTATTTTTTAATCACAGGAAGCATTTTCTCTGCAGAGTGCTTGCAGACACCTTGGCAGGAGGTCCCAGAACTGAACAATAGTTCAACCTCCACATGCAGTGGGGCTGCCAAACTCTCTTCTCCCTGGTCCCAGCCTAGTTCAACTTCCGGCGTTTCCCCAGGCTTCTTTCTGGCAGGGAAATGGCCAGGGAAAGGAAGGGCTATTTTGGAGAATTCGGGGACCAGCGGCAATATTGGATTTCCTAGTAGCTTGTGAACAGCCAGGTAGGGGGTTTGCTTTCTGCACAGTGGCCCCAGGCTTCTCGTTGGACTGGTAGATAAAATCTCTGCATTTCAGTCACTTCTTTGGGCGCTGTCTGGTTGCGAGAACCGAGGAGTGGGGTCCTGAGAACATGGGGTGTCTTCTGGGAAGCAGTTTCATAAGCTCTAGTGGTGGCTGTATGTCTACAGTCTGCTTCTCAGGTGGCCGGGCAGGTCCCAAAGACACCTTCCTTAATGACCAGAAACGCTGCATCGGGCATTTGGCATCAGATGTGCAGGGCTGTTTAAAAGAAAAAGTTTTCTTCACGTACATTCTCTAGGCAGTGGGGGACCCTGGAAGTTAGAAAGCACCAACAAAAGCCCAAACAAAAACAAATAAAAAAAGCAGGGATCGCCGAAACCGGTTTGGCTCAGCAGATAGAGCATTGGCCTGCAGACTGAAGGGTCCCAGGTTTGATTCCGGTCAAGGGCATGTACCTTGGTTGTGGGCACATCCCCAGTTGGGGCTGTGCAGGAGACAGCTGATCGGTGTTTCTCTCTCATCGATGTTTCTAACTCTATCCCTCTCTCTTTCTCTCTGTGGGGGGGGGGGGGGGGGGGGGGGAAAGGCAGGGATCTGTGTGAGTTCCATCTTAGGTAGGCTGTGTCCCAACAGGGCTATTTGAAAGTGAAGCCAAAGGTAGTCTGTTTCTTTAAGGGGGGGGGGGAGGTCCCTATTTAAAGAGCAATTTATAAAAGCCCTTCCTTTAGCAATCTCAATGAGCTTCACTGCTATTGCTCTAAATGGGAAACCAGGCCAAACAACAGGGCACGAGGGGTGGGAAGGGGAGAGCATCTGGCTGCTGCAAGCAGCGGCTGCAACTTATTTGGAAATTCTCTTTCTGGCTGGCAGGCTGTCCTGACGGCGGAGGCATAGGCGACAGTGCCAGGGTCTGAGCAGTGTTTACAGTAAGCTCATGTCATGCGGAACGAACATGGCATCTGATCGTATTTTGCTGCACACAGAAAGTGTGTTGTATCCACAAAGCCCGGGTCCAAGGTATACAGTGTCTGAGTGTGGTCACGCCGGGCCTCCTAGCCATCCCTGGTGGAGGGACTCCCGCCCTCAGAAGCTGCTTCTTCTGGCTGCTCCTCAGTTCACACCACCTCCTTCCAGCTACTCCGGCTGGAGAGAGCGTTTGGCGATTCAGCCAGGTTGGGGGGCGGGGGGACCCTGTGCCACAGAGCATCCTCCCTTACAGCTCGCTTGTAGCGTTCTCTGTGTCATGACTGTTAGGCTTCTCTCCCCAAGGCATTGGGTGTGATGTTATCCGAATGTTTGTTTTCTGGTCTCTCCCATCTCCTCAGCATCCAGTGTCGTTAAACATAAAAGGTGTGGGTGGATTGGTTCTTCTACAAATGTAGGGTTTGGAACCCCTCTCTTTACCCTTCCTACCGAAACGCCCTGCGATCCTGGGAGCTCTGCCACTTCCCTTTCTACATTATGGAAAGGGCATGTGCTTATTGTTACTATGACATATATAATATGTATTTTCTTTTTACTACAATTATGGTTCTTACTATGGCTTTTTTTTTTTTTAAAGAAACATAACAGTAGCGCTATAATAAGCTGCTAAAGACTCTGGAAACCAAAACACATGCTTGTTTATACAACTCTAAATAACACTTTTGCAGCTCACAAAATAGAAGCCCCAGAGGAGGGAAGTGTGTGTTTGTCCACACAACAGACTTTCAGTGAGAAAAGGGAAGCTGCTCTGCCAACATTTTAGGGAGACCCAGGAGCCACAGTTGGATTTTCATATCAATCGGTTGCCATGACACTCTTCTAGAAAGGGCTTTGAGGGGACCACAGGTAGTCAGGGGTTCATTTCTGCTGATCTGAGAACTGCCAAGTCCAGGGCTTGATCACCTCGTGTGTGGACCATTCAGTGGTATCTGTCTCCTTCTTGTCACTATCTGCCTTGTTGAACCGGTTGTTGAATATGTCACCTCCTCCCTTAATCCTGTACGTTCCTTGGGGTCAGACACTTGTGTGTCTTGCTCACTGTGGTACCTCCAGTGACTAGAACAGGGTTTGGCACATAGTAGGTGCTCAGCCAACAGGTGATGACAGGGGCATAAAGGCCTAAGTGTGAACTTTTAATATTAGAAATGAAGGTAATATATAGTTGGCTCAGCTCACAGGCCATGTGACTTAGCAAGACGATATTCCACGAGCTAGAGGGGAAGCAGGTTTTATTGACACTGTTAACCACGTTGGGCACTGACATCTAAACTGAGGTGGGTCTGGGCAGGATGTGGCAAAGCCACCGCCCAAGGCTGAAGCCCACTTTTGTGGGTGCCCAGGCTCTGTCTTAGCGTCCCCTTCTCTGTCCCCTTTTCTGCACTGGCCAGGAGTGGGCTCTCCAGCAGCAAGAGGCTTGCTGAGGCTGTCGTCTGCCAAGGATGCAGGAGATGAGTCTGTACTTTACAAACCTCCCCTCCCCCCATGCCTTCTTTTACTCTTCATTTTCTTCAATCTGAATATCGTATACTTTATCTTATTTATTATGTCTGTTGTCTTTCTCCTGTAACTAGAACATAAGCTCCCTGAGGACAGAGGGTTGCATGGCCTGCTTTGGTCACTGGTGCAGCCCCAGCCCTATGATTCTTCCTGGGTTGCAGAAAATTATCAATGAGGATTGAAACCTGTGGTTGTTTCCCATGTTTGTCGAGGAAAGACTTAGAGAAAGCTCTCAGCCTAGCCCTGTGGCAGCATCAGGTATTGGAAATGGGAATTTTGAACACCGTCTGCCCCAGCTGAGATGACAACACCCTGCCAGCTTAGGTGTTTACTCTCCTGATGACTGTCACTTCCCCGCCCACCGGCACTCAGAGGCCCGCTACCATCCTGGCGCTGTGGTCCTCAGCCTCCCTCTGCAGCTCCCACCTCCTCATCCACACGCTCCCACGTGTCCAATGGGAAAGCGAAAACCCTGCACACCTGAGCTTTCTGAATCGCCTCTCTCAGAGGATGCTGCTCTCCGATGTTTTGGGAAGGAGCCTCTATGTTTTTCTGTCAACCTCTGTTGTAGGAGTAGGTGGAATTTTTAAGAGCCCCTCTCCCCCCGCATGGCTGTTTTGTTCTGGAATCTTCCAGGCAGGAAGCATAGGATAACAACTGCATTTTATTCCTCTGGTGACGTGGGGGAGCTTCAGGCTGCTTGTGTTTGAATCATGACTTGTACCTTGGGCCCTGCCTGGGAGTTTTCCTTTGGCCAGCCTGATGTAGGAGGACATAAAGCAAAGAATAGGTTCGGGGTCTCACCTCCTCCTTGGCAAGCTCACAATTGTAATGAAGTTGGCCAGGGTTCATTTTGCCCACTTAAGAGGTAGCCAGTGGAAGATGCTTTATGCTTATGCAACGCTCTTAAGATGATGTGGTTTTCCCCCCTCCTAGGGCCTCAGTAGTCTTACAAATATACAGGGTAGTATTGGTTACTAGGGACTATTGTTTTTATCTAACCAGCAAGCTCCCCCAGTTTCCCCCTTATTATGGGAATAAACCCTTTCTCCCCCACCCCTCCACTCCACCCTGGGCAGGGACAGGTCTTGCCTCATCTTTTAGACCCAAGGCCATAGCAGCAGGAAGCCATGGCAGGTCTGTAGGGATGGATGTGAGAGATTTTCAGGAGGGAGACTCAATAGGACTTGGACACGGGAATGAGGAGGGAAGGACAATGTAGGATGACTCCCAGGTGTTTAGCTCACATCCCCAGGTGCTGTTTGCTTAGATCAGGATCATTGAGGTGGGAACAAGTTTGCAGGTTTGGTTGTGGGTGGGAGCAGAATGAATGGAGAGTAGAGGTCATGACCTCAGTTTGGGACATATGGAGTGTGAGGGGCCTGCAGGTGTCCTGGAGGAGTTGCGGGGGCATGAGCAGTTGAATAAGTGGGCCTGGAGATGAAAGGAAAGGTCTGCATTAGAGATGTAATGTACAGCCCCAAAAATATGAAGAAAAATATATACGTGTGTGTGTGTGTGTGTGTGTGTGTGTGTGTCTGAATGATGCTAAATTAGTATTCCTATAAATTTTAGAAGTAGAGAACAGTCTAGTGTGATCCTCCCTAAATAATCTGACATGAGGTTCCAGAAGACACAATTCATGTTTGTATTTATTTATTTATTTATTTATTTATTTATTTATTTATTACCTTTTCACATGTATATAGAATATACAAACTCATGTCTATTTCTCACTGCCATTTACTTGTTCAACATATGGGCAAGGCCAGTTAGCAGTCAATGTACATTGCTTTGCTTGGAACTTTTATATTGGCTGCTTGGTGTCATGTCCACAAATACGGATTTGGAGCAGAAACCGAAACCTGAGGGGCAGGCAGAGTCATT